TCTCCCTCTCTCTCTCTCTCTCTCTCTCTCTCTCTATTGGATTAAGGCCTTGGTGTATTTTCAGCCAAGAAGGCTTATGGGATCTCTGATGTAATCCTTCCAGAGAACAAAATGATTCATGTTCATGATAAAAGACAAACAAAAATCAGTTCTTGAATCTCAGCCATGCATTTGCATGCTTTGCTTGTGATAATTAACTTGAGTAATATTGGCATCTGTCAGATTTAACTGATGGACTCTGATGGTACTTATCTCTCCCTCTCTCTCTCTCTCTCTCTCTCTCTCTCGCTCTCAATAGGATTATGACAGTGGGTTCATGTAGATTAGGTGGTCTGTTCACTGTTCAAATCTCTCTGTTTGGAGAGTAGACAAACACTGGCAGAGCGATGTCAGAGACAGTCTGGTGTCGGTTTAACCCTGTAATCACCGTGAACTGGGCGTGTGGTGACGGGAAATAACAGCACGGTGAACCTGCAGCTGTGTTGATCTGAACTCATGATCGGTTCGATTCTGAACAACAGCGATTCTGAGGCCAGCGAGACTCCGTCACTGAAGGTCTGGGAATAACTTCAACTTCAAGAGTTTTTGGGCGGTGGTAGATGCAGCTCTACACATGCAGCTGTGTTTGTGCATTGCATTTGTTCAGGTTCGTTTTAAACAAGATGTCATGCTTAAAATCTGCTAACAAAAATAAGTTAAGAATAGTTTGCTGACGTTCCCATTAATCGATAACATTCAAACATTCATTACGTTCTAAACCTTATATTTTATGTACGTTTTTCTTGGTGATGCGAATGTTAAAGGAACATTCTATTTTATCATTTTTCAAACAATGTTACTTTTGAATGTTCTCTGAACGTTCTGAAACAAGCAGTAACATTTAAAACATGTTAGACAATCGTCCAACTTAATGTTACTGGAAGAACGTTTGTTCGTAACTTCTAGAGGCTTGCCAGAGTGTTCTGAGAACATTCTCTGTTGGTTTTAATTGAGGTTTGGTTCAATCCTTCTTGTACTCACAATCTGTGAGTGTTTATGCAGGCAGAACTACTTTGACCGCCATCTTCAATCTCATTCATTGAACTCAAGATGATCTTTTTTCCAGTTAGCTTGTGTAGAAACTATTAGCCTAGTTCACATACCGTTCCCGCTGGAAAATATGTATTTGATTGTGTTGTAGTGTATTAATTGCACTAGTTTGTTTGCCATTTATTTACAAGTTTTGCAACTCCATGCAACTCATTGAAGAATATCATCAAGCATTGATCAGTGCATGTTCTCTCTTCAGAAGCTGTCATGGTGGACCTGTTCCTGGGGAAGGTTCTGGTGAAGAACAATAAAGACAGAGACGAGCTGGACACGGAGCGTGAGATCGTCCTGCGGCTCCAGAACCGCATCCTCATGCTGTTCTTCGGCTCCGGCGAGTGCGAGAAGTGCCAGGAGTTCGCACCGACGCTCAAAGACTTCTACAAGAAGCTCACGGACGAGTTCTACGTGGAGCGATCGGCTCAGCTGGTCCTGCTGTACGTCTCGCTGGACTCCTCCGAGGAGCAGCAGGAGAAGTTCCTGAAGGAGCTGCCCAAACGCTGCCTGTTCCTGGCCTACGAGGACCCCTACAGACAGTACGTACCATTTTTGTTCAGAAAAGCATGCCAAAAAATTTGAGTATGACAGTTTCTAGTACAGTGCTTGAGCACACTTTGACGGGGTCTGACTTAAATATGACAAAAGATTTAAATTTAACTAGGATTCCCACTCAAGAACTTTTCATTTTATTTTACAGTTCTGTTCTGCATGTAAATATTATGTACTGTACTTACTATAGTAATTCAAATAACTGGGAAATAAGTAGATACTAACCATGATCCAGTGATATTTTAATATTGTTTATTTACTGTTATAGCTTCTATTTTAATCTTTTTTTTTATTGAGATTTATACATCAATGAAAAGCTTATTTATTCAGCTTTCATATGATGTATGTTAGGTATGTATTTTTTAGGATCGGACAATATTTGGCTGAGATACAACTATTTGAAAATCTGGAATCTGAGGGTGCAAAAAAAATCGAAATATTGAGAAAATCATCTTTAAAGTTGTCCAAATGAAGTCCATAGCAATGCATATTACTAATCAAAAATTAAGTTTGGATATATTTACGGTAGGAAATGTACTAAATATCTTCATGGAACATGATTTTTACTTAAGAAAAATCTATAATTTTGACCCATACAATGTATTTTTGGCTATTGCTACAAATATCCCCCAGCGACTTAAGAATTCTAATGTCTAGCGACCAGATAACCTGGAACCAGTGTTCTTTTAACATTACTGGAAGAGTTTGTTCATTTGGGAGAAAGTCCTGAGAACATTCCCTGTTAGCTGGGTTAGAGTCAAAAAGGCTGATAATCAGAGTGTGTTTCTGAGCCGCTGTGTGTAACCATCAGGAGGAGCTCTGTAGTTTGTGACGTGTTTGTGTGGTTCACAGGGAGCTGAGCGAGATGTTCGAGGTGCAGGATCTGCCCAGGGTGGTGGTTTTGCGTCCGGACTGCTCCGTTCTCACAGCCGATGCCGTGGAGGAAATCTGTAAGCTGGGGCAAGACTGCTACCGCAACTGGCAGGAAGGGGCGGAGCTTATCGACAGGAACTTCATGATGAACGAGGAGTTCGACGAGGGCAAAATGCGCAGCATGACCGACCCCATCCGACGAGTCAAATACAAGGTGGAGGAGCAGAAGAAGAAGAAAAAGAAGAAGAAAAAGAAGAAGGATGGGGTGAGTGTGGAGGAAGAGGAGGAGGATGAGGATGGAGATGGAAATGATGGAGGAGGAGGTTGGGGCTGAGGATAGGACTTCTGACGCTCTAATAACTATTAGTGAAATGGACAGAAGCCACGAGTAAGTGTTGAGTAAACGTCGCTGATCAGGTGAAATAGCAACGCTGAAAAAAGAAAGATGGATGTCCTGCAGCAATAGTTCTCAAACCTTTCTCCAAGCACCATCAATGTCCACAATAGGGCTGCACGATTAATTTGTCAGTAAAGCCGGTTCTGCAATCAACAGGAAATTACAAATTAAATCATCATGTCGTGCTTTCAGACGGAGCAGCATTTACTACACAGAGCCGTAGTTCACTGACAAGTTACGCAAAAAAAAAGTCACAGATGATTTTATTGCGCGATTCTGAAATAGATGAAATCGTTGGCGATAATGACAGCTGTTTGCGTAGCTTCTCAGTGAACTACGGCTCTGTGTAGTAAATGCTGCTCCGTCTGAAAGCATGTGAAAATACCACATTTAATAACATATTTATATAATAATAATTTTTACTCCAAACTCACTTCATAACGTCAGTCGAGTGTTTGAAATAAATCCTTCTGTGAGATGATGTGGCTTCTTACACAGAATAAGACACGCAACATATTTCATAGTATTTAAGCAGTGATAAAGCCATTGCATTATACATATACTTAATAAGAACTCAGATAAACCGTATATTGCCGTAGTCGTGTGTTTATTAGTCACATTGAATCAATGAAAGCAGTTGAATCTTCTGTTTATTCAGCTGCAGCGATAGGCATTTCCTGGGTTTCTTCTGCGAGGCGTATTTGGAGTTTCTCTGGCCTTCAGATGGAGATTTACTGCTGATCACAGAACCGTGCTTCACTGAGAGATATGCGTGATAATCTCGATTCCATTTCGATTTATTGTGCAGCCCTAATCACAACGATATTTAAAAGCTAATATGTTTCCTCTGGAAAGACCAATGTTTTTTTTATTTTACAGAAACTGTGTGAACAGATTAAAATAAGAAACAAAATTATTATAATTCAAATAACTGAATTTCAGGATTCCAAAAGTTATAAGAGATGAAAGTTCTTAAATTTTCCTGCTCTTTTCATCCAATCAATTTCCAGTTGTCCAATTTGTATTAAAGATAAGATATTGATAAGACATGTTTATCCGTAATATTTGATATTAAGGATTAAAAAAACGTTCTACTTACAATTTCTAACCGCTGAAAGAGTTTGGCATAAGTAGTAATAAATGTATGCTCTTCATAAAAATGCCTAATGCGATTTTTATTCATTTCAATTACTTTTTCAGGTCTAGAAATCCCACTTTAAAATCGGACTTCATCATTTATCCACATTTTCTGATAGAATCTGGCACTGTACAAATTGCCAAGAATTTACAGGATTAAAGATCATTATTTTACAATAATGTAGTCAGACATTTACTGTGCATGCCGGGCCATTATCTGCCAAATTATGCGAAAGCAATGCAGTTATTAAAATATTTAACTGTGGGAAAACAGCTGTTAAAGGGGTGAACTAAAATAAGAAGTATCATGATTTTTAGTTGTTTTTAAATAACTTTAAGTCCTCTTGGGGCCCCTTTTACAGTCGACTGAAGACCACAGGTTGAGAAAAAACTGAACTACAACGGCTGCTCAATGATTGATAACTGAGCTCAATTTCTCAATTCCGGGATCAATTACTTCTCTTCAAATGCATCTGTTTTGTTTATTTCCAGGTCATATGTGTGCATGCATGATTATACAGTATTACTGTAAGGATCTTCAGATGACTGCTGTTACACAAATGTATACACAAATGCTCTTTTCTTTAACATGCATGCTTTTTTAATCAACATTTGCATTACTAATAAACTCTGAAATTACAAAGAAAATTGGTCTTGAGCATGTTAACACACACACACACACACACTCACACTCACACACACACGCACACACACTCACACACTCTCACACACACTCACACTCACACAGACACACACATACATGTCTGGTCAGCTATCCTTGTGGGGACTCTCCATAGGCGTAATGGTTTTTATACTGTACAGACCATATATTCTATTGCCCTACACCAACCCTACCCCTAAACCTACCCCTCACAGGAGACTTTGTGCTATTTCAGATTTTCAATACACTCCATTCTGTGTGATTTATAAGCGTTTTGAAAAGTGGGGACATGGGGTAATGTCCTGAAAAGTCACCTTCTCCTTGTAATACCTGTGTTATACCTTTGTCGTTATACAAATGTATGTCCTCATTTGTCACAAAAATGTACACACACATACACACACACACACACACACACACACACACACGTGACCCTGGAGCACAAAAGCAGTCTTAAGTCGCTGGGGTATATTTGTAGCAGGGGGCATTTTTTTCATCTACAGGAAGCGTCAAAAGTGAAACTGAGCGGCACGAGAAAACAGGAAGAGAAGACTCCAACTTTACGATCATCTTTGTAAGTACAACATTAACCTCATTTAAGTCCTTGGATATACGTTAGATGTCACAAGGTCTCACTAAGTAACTTATTTGAGTCTAATTACACGAAGTGTGTGTGTGTGTGTTCACAGTGGTGTTGGTTTCAAACGAAAGGTAGCTGATGTGCCTTTCATCTTTAAAATTACACGTTTGGAACCAACATACAAACCACATTCTCTATTCTGACAAATATTTGTCTGTAATTAAGGCGCGAGTCATTCAAATATGTGCAAAGGATTTCACCTCGCCCTTCAGGTCTCGTTTTTACAACTAAGTTATAAACTCAAAGGCAGTCATAGTCATCGGGGTCCAAGCACCAATAGCTCATATGGTTTGGAGATAAAGCTGCTATATATCTTTCCACATATATTATGGATATTGAATCTACTGATTTGAAGTATGCAAAATACATGCCAGTTCAAAAGGAAATTAGGAAGTAAGTAGCAATTCACATGAAATATGCAAAAAATATTACATATCTTAACCTGATAGCCTAACCTCTAGTACTCGACTTTAGTATTACAGTCTTGATCTGTCGTGCACAGCTAGGGTTGCACCCGTATTTAAAGGTTTTACATAGACCTACACACAGCTGAATAAACACAAGGATTTCGCAGTGTGGAGAATACTAATAGCAAATGAAATCAATTTCACAATAAGTAGTAGAGAAGTTCATCTGCACATGTGCGTCGCGTGATAAGCGCTGGCAGTATATTCATATCTGTAGGCCAGTAGGTTCGACTCGGGAGGTGTACATTAAACAGCTTTGGTCTTGTAGTGAAAATAAGCTTATACTTATTTTAGAAAAAGAAAAAAAAAAGTTATATACAGTATTCACAGTACCAGTTTGAATATTACACAGGTGGGGTAAAATGCCCCCAAAAATTATAGCCTATTTGAAAAATATTGTTAGCTGATGCTAACTGGCCAGCTAACTAGCTACCTGATGCTAACTTGAGGTCATTTTTAAATATAAAGTCCAAATATGTTTATCTCATTATCATCATCTAACAATATGAATACATGGGACTCGTATACGTGTTATTGTATCAGTATGTCATTGCTGAAAAACTGAGCTTGCGTTTTCTCTCACTGGAATATCAGTACACATCTAATTACATATTCAGCCATTTATACACATAGCAAAATGTGTGCTCACCAAAATCCAGAGAAATAAACACATATATGAAGGGATTTGATCCTTTTTGAGGATACTACTTTTTCTTTTCTTTTAACTCCTGCTTGAAGTCATGCATATATATATATATATTTTGATAAAGTAGGCCTACATTATCAGAGCTTGGTACATGTTAAGATTATAAATGATGTTATTTATTAATTTATCATTCATAGGCTACATCATGAATAATCCTGTCATATACAATTTATGAAGTTTATTAATTTAGTTAAAAATGGGACAAATATTTAAAATGTAGTCCTGATTAAAAATCCCATCCCATCCAGGTAAAAGCTGCAGATTGTGCAGGATTCGTCTAAAAGGTGATAAATGGATCCAGACTGCTTAAAGCACACAGATATATCCTGGAGGAGTTCTTTAGGAATGAATTAAATAACCAAATGTGTTCTGTTGAATGTTTACATAGCCTACTTGTTCTGTTTTGTTGTTGAAATGATCAGTGTGAATGGGTGTCTCTTATTTTTCCACACTGATGGAGGCAGCTTTATTCTCAGTTGCAAATGAGGTTTATAAATGAAATGACAATACACTGATTCCCCTGCTATAGGACCACACAAACAATTGAATTTGTTATATTCTCCCTATATAGTGAAACAAGATGGCTACAACCGAAATAGCGATTCTTGATGCACTTAAGGAGCTACTGGAAAAAGAGCTAAAAGATTTCAAATGGCACCTGTCAAATGGTGGGACACAATACAGCTCTATTCCTCGTGGGACGCTGGAGAGCGCTGATCGCCATGATACTGTGACTATCATGGTGCAGCAGTACAGAAGTTCAGACGCCGGGAAGATCGCAGTCAGAGTGCTGCGCAAAATTGATCAAAATGAGCTTGCTGATCAACTGAAGATAAAACTTCAGGAAGGTACTTTTGACACTTTTTTAAAATCTATATCTATGAATATTTGATCTAAATTGCATTTTGAGTGTATCTGTATGTCTCCATCAGTTCCAGAGGACGTTTCTGCTGAAGGTGGAGCTTCATCCGGTGCAACGGCTGCAAACGCTTCAACTGCAGGAGTTAAAGTTACCATAAACTCCTCCAGTGGAGGAACCGTGAAGGCCCCTGTTATTCACGGCGGTGTGTTTAACGGCCCAATGAACTTCAGCTAATGCTCAAGCACATGTCTTATCTTAAAACAATGATTTTAGTATTTACATCCTCAGGTTTGAAATATAAGCTGATTGTGGCTTCTAAATCATTGTGTTTGTAGGCTCATTTAATACAGCCACATACATATTTATACATGAAACCAAATACAAATGATGTTTACAGTGTATTTGAACTTAAATAAAGCTCTAAATCGGCAGCTTTCTAATGATACTGGAATGTGAATGACTATGACCAGCAACATTTTTATTTCGGGAAAATCATTTATGCACTTCCTTGTCAAATTGGGCAGCACTTGAGAAGGGGAGTCGCCAATGTTTGTAGCGCATAGTCATTAAAAACAGCTGTAAGCACAGATTCAGCCATTCATTCTAGTAATACCTGCAATTCGCACCTTGTTGAATTCACCGTCTACGGAAAAGAAGCATCTGTTTCGTACGCATGTGCAGACAATGATTTAAAGTGCCCCATTATACTATTTTAAAGGATCCTAATTTTGTTATGGAGGTCTCCTGCAATAGGTCACATGCATCCAAGGTCAAAAACACCTTTATTTTCCACAATATACTCTGCAGCATCAGCACCTGCTCTGCTCTGATTGGTCAGATTCTTACATCCTTTTTTTCCCTCACATATTTAGCATTTAATGAAATATTTATTATATATCCATTTACATGTGCCTTCGCTCAGTACTTTGTGAGCTTGGCGTGACTCCACACGCAGAGATGAGACATGGTTTGTACAAAACTGATGGTTTAAGGCCATGTAAGTACATGTGTGTTATTATTATTTATCCTGATCCTCTATCTAGTGGACAACTTCAGTATAACAGTCTTGACCTGACATTCAGTGTTGCAAATGAGATGCTTTAATGTTTTAACTCTAATAGAAAAGGACTGTTCATGTGGCTTATGTGCCATAGTTCTGTCCTTTAAGCATATTACATAAATGTTTATATTAAATTAAGTGACAGCCTACCGATTCTCCTGCTAAGAAAACAAACAAAACAGCTTAAACTGTGCTGGTTATACCTGCTTCACAGCCGAGTCTTTTGGACATCATTGAGCTTTTGGGATCATGTTTCCAGAAAGAGCAGCAACCTTTTTATTTCAGGCCATTTACTTTCTTACCAAAATTGGCTGTGCTTGCGAAGGGGATAAACATGAGAGCTAATGTTTCTGTCATCTATTCAATAAAAACATTTATAAGCGCAGACTCACAGTTGTGTGATTTGTTTTGGGACACTCATTCTTTAGCAAAATCTGTGTTTTTGTTTTGCAATGTTCATTAATTTATCAGCACAAGACCAGCAAATGCGTTTCGCATTTAAAGAAATATTATATATCCATTTACATGTGTGCCTCATTATGTGAAAATGTTTTTTATTTTATTTTGTGGACAAGAGAACAGCCTCTAAATTACGCACGCTTCCACACGCAGAGATAAGATGTGGTTTGTACAAAGCTGATGGTTTAACATATGTATAATCTACACAGGCACAATGAGTTCATTGCAATAGATTTATTTAAAAATGTATGAATGATTCATTTCATTAGTAAATTCAAAGAAGTGACTCAAAACAGATGAAAAACCACCTTATAGTTTTGAGAAAGATTTAGCAACACAACAGAAGAAAGGAAAGCCACTTGATTTGTTTTGTTGTTTGCTTCGGATACATTTTGCAATGTCTCTGCAAAGGTCTAAATCACACGTTTGATCTTCATGATGATGGATTTCAAACTGTTTCCCTTCCAGGTTAACCAAACAACACCAATGGTGCTATGGGGGGAATCTTCCATCCATAAATACAGACCGTTGGGGTTTGCATGGTGACAGCTGTTGTACCAAAATCCCCCGAGATGATATTTGGCACAGTTGTTTCCCCAGGGATCTTGGTCCTTGTCAAAAGTGGAGAACTTCTGATCATTGTGAATAGATAAAGAGTCGCCTGGAAAGAAGAGGAGCATCGCTGAAGACAATAACTCAAAGGAAATGTGTTTTCATGAGTATAAATAAAAGTGCCCTACCAGCTCCTCCGTCAGTGAATCCTGAAACATGCAGCTGATATCCATCCGTTTCACAATCCACAGAGAAGGACGAGTACAGAGCGAAAACTTTATTTCCTTCAAAGTCCTCCATATCTACTCTCAGCACGTACTTCCTCTTACGTGTCAGCTGGTAGATGTTCTCCAGCCCTGATCATACACACACATGAAGAACACCTTCAACCAAACACTGGACAGCAGGGCTGGATTGGTAATCGGGCATTTTCTTAAGGGGCCGACAGAAATGTTTTTTTTTTTGCCAAGGACCATCGCGCAGGGACAGCGAGCAGCCAGTGGCCCATTGGATTGTCTCCTGTATAGACAGCGTAAACCATCCAATCACAATATGCTATAGATGGAGCGATTTAGTATTTTGCTCCGCCTATATAAAGATCGCTTCACTCCAATTTCTTCCTCGTCGGCTTTTCCCACGTTTTCACAGCAGCATTATCAAGAACAGGCTTGCTCTGCGGTGACTGATGCGGGCCAAAGAGCCAGGCAGGAGAGGTGAGTAGTTCAATCGGTAAAGTGCTTGATAGGGACTCGCAGCGGAGGCAGGCATCTAACCTATCCTAATGTGTGCGCACGCCATGAGTGTAGAATACGTAAACACACTTTAATAAAATGTAAATTCGTCCCCCCCCCCCGCTTTTTTGGCCAAGTCAAGTCAAGTGTGTTCATAGAGGTTTCCATGGGCCAACGCGAATAAAGCTAGGTTTAAATGAAAAAAGACCGGAGGCAGGCATCTAACCTATCCTAATGTGTGCGCGCGCCATGAGTGTAGAATAGGTAAACACACTTTAATAAAATGTAAATTCGTCCCCCCCGCTTTTTTGGCCAAGTCAAGTCAAGTGTGTTCATAGAGGTTTCCATGGGCCAACGCGAATAAAGCTAGGTTTAAATGAAAAAAGACACGATATTGTCGGACCTGACGTTTTATTCTCATCCAAAACAACTAGATGTGATATGAGTGTGATACATACATACAGTACCAGTCAAAAGTTTTTGAACAGTAATATTTTTTAAAGAAGTCTTTTCTCAACAAACTGCATTTATTTGATCATAAATACAGCAAAAGCAGTAATATTGTGATTTTTCTTTTTACTATTTAAAACAACTGCTTTCTATTTAAATTAAAATGTCATTTATTTCTGTGATCAAAGCTAAATTTTCAGCATCATTAATCCAGTCTTCAGTGTCACATGATCCTTCAGAAATAATTTTAATACGCTGATTTGTTGTTCAAGAAAAGATTGAAAAACACCTTTATATATATATATATATATCTGTCAGATTCTCAGGCTCCTCCTCTGCGTTTCAGTATAAATGTACATAATGAAGCCCCACATATTGAGTACAAATTGAAAATACATCAGTCCTGCCTCATGCAAGTTTAACATGCAGTGACACAAAAGTGTTTTTGTTTTTTCCCCCTTTTCTGACTGAATCCAGGTGACATAGTTACAGCTACAGTTTGTTGTAAATGTAATTTAGATTTCATGACAATCAAGTTTGTAATAATTTTCAATAGCACACACCCAATAACCATGTTATTTTTTTTAATATGAAAATATGATAATCATGTTTTCTGTGTAGAGATTTCAACATTCATCTGGACAATCCTTATGCTACAGACTTCCATGCACTCCTTGCTTCATTTGATCTCAAACGACTTACCACTACAAGCACACACAAATCAGGCAACCAACTTGACTTAATTTACACACGAAATTGTATTGCAGACATTTTGGTAGAACCCCTACATATCTCTGACCATTTCTTCATTACATTTAAACTGCATTTTGTTAACTGTGTGCCACCAACCCCTATACCGGTTACTTTTAGACGAAACCTACGCTCCCTTTCCCCCTCCCATCTTTCCTCTGTATTATCCTTCTCTCTTCCCTCACCTACCCATTTCTCATCTCTGAATGTGAATGCAGCAACTGACACTTTATGCTCTACTTTAACCTCTTGTCTAGACGATATTTGTCCTCTCTCCTCCTCTAACCCCTGGTTATCCGATGTTCTTCGTGAGCATCGGACCAAACTCAGGGCAACAGAGAGAAAATGGCACAAATCAAAATATCCGTCAGACCTAAGTATGTATCAGTCTTTGCTTTCATCTTTCTCTGCTGACATCCATACTGCCAAATCTTCATATTTCCACAACAAGATCAACAGCGCTCCAGACACACGTAATCTCTTCAAAACATTCAGTTCTCTCCTCTGTCCCCCTCCACCACTTCTATAACAGCTGATCATTTCGCCACATTCTTCACAGACAAAACTAGAACAAGCAGTAGTCAATTCTCAGCCCCCCCCCCACACACACACAGGACCTCAAACCAACTACATCCACTGCTAAAACTCCCATATTCTCCTTCTGTCCCATCACTGAGGCAGAAGTATCAAAACTTAGCTCTCCAGCCATCCTACAACATGCCCTCTAGACCCAATCCCCTCACACCTCCTCCAAGCAATCTCTCCTACACTTTTACCAGCACTCACACATATCATCAACACATCTCTCCTCACAGGCACCTTCCCCACTGCATTCAAGCAGGCTCGGGTAACCACACTGCTCAAAAAACCTACATTAAACACTTCACTTACAGATAGCTACAGACCCGTCTCTCTCCTTCCATTCATAGCAAAAACCTTTGAACGAGTTGTTTTCAACCAGGTATCATTGTTTCTTTCACAGAACAACAAACTGGACACTAACCAGTCAGGTTTCAGGAGTGGCCATTCAACTGAGACTGCGCTACTCTCAGTCACAGAAGCCTTGCGGATTGCAAAAGCTGATTCCAAATCATCAGTTCTTATTCTGCTGGATCTATCTGCTGCTTTTGACACTGTCAATCACCAGATCCTCCTGAATTTTCAATAGCACACACCCAATAACCATGTTATTTTTTTTAATATGAAAATATGATAATCATGTTTTCTGTGTAGAGATTTCAACATTCATCTGGACAATCCTTATGCTACAGACTTCCATGCACTCCTTGCTTCATTTGATCTCAAACGACTTACCACTACAAGCACACACAAATCAGGCAACCAACTTGACTTAATTTACACACGAAATTGTATTGCAGACATTTTGGTAGAACCCCTACATATCTCTGACCATTTCTTCATTACATTTAAACTGCATTTTGTTAACTGTGTGCCACCAACCCCTATACCGGTTACTTTTAGACGAAACCTACGCTCCCTTTCCCCCTCCCATCTTTCCTCTGTATTATCCTTCTCTCTTCCCTCACCTACCCATTTCTCATCTCTGAATGTGAATGCAGCAACTGACACTTTATGCTCTACTTTAACCTCTTGTCTAGACGATATTTGTCCTCTCTCCTCCTCTAACCCCTGGTTATCCGATGTTCTTCGTGAGCATCGGACCAAACTCAGGGCAACAGAGAGAAAATGGCACAAATCAAAATATCCGTCAGACCTAAGTATGTATCAGTCTTTGCTTTCATCTTTCTCTGCTGACATCCATACTGCCAAATCTTCATATTTCCACAACAAGATCAACAGCGCTCCAGACACACGTAATCTCTTCAAAACATTCAGTTCTCTCCTCTGTCCCCCTCCACCACTTCTATAACAGCTGATCATTTCGCCACATTCTTCACAGACAAAACTAGAACAAGCAGTAGTCAATTCTCAGCCCCCCCCCCACACACACACAGGACCTCAAACCAACTACATCCACTGCTAAAACTCCCATATTCTCCTTCTGTCCCATCACTGAGGCAGAAGTATCAAAACTTAGCTCTCCAGCCATCCTACAACATGCCCTCTAGACCCAATCCCCTCACACCTCCTCCAAGCAATCTCTCCTACACTTTTACCAGCACTCACACATATCATCAACACATCTCTCCTCACAGGCACCTTCCCCACTGCATTCAAGCAGGCTCGGGTAACCACACTGCTCAAAAAACCTACATTAAACACTTCACTTACAGATAGCTACAGACCCGTCTCTCTCCTTCCATTCATAGCAAAAACCTTTGAACGAGTTGTTTTCAACCAGGTATCATTGTTTCTTTCACAGAACAACAAACTGGACACTAACCAGTCAGGTTTCAGGAGTGGCCATTCAACTGAGACTGCGCTACTCTCAGTCACAGAAGCCTTGCGGATTGCAAAAGCTGATTCCAAATCATCAGTTCTTATTCTGCTGGATCTATCTGCTGCTTTTGACACTGTCAATCACCAGATCCTCCTGCCTGCACTCTCTTCACTGGGCATTACAGGAGCTCCACTTCACTGGTTTGAAACCTATCTCACTGGTATGTCTTTCAGGGTGTCCTGGGGAGGGGAGGTATCCAAAGCACATCAACTCTTCAAAGACCACATTGCAAAAACAACCCGATCTTGCAGGTTTGCGCTACACAACATCAGAAAGATCAGGCCCTTTCTAACGGAGCATGCTGCACAACTTCTTGTCCAGGCCTTTGTCATTTCTAGGCTGGACTATGGCAGTGCTCTTGTGGCTGGACTTCCATCAAGCACAATCAAACCTCTATAAATGATTCAGAATGCAGCGGCACGCCTGGTTTGACATTTGTAAGTCGTAAGTCAATTGTAAGTCGCTTTGGATAAAAGCGTCTGCAAAATGACAATGTAAATGTAGAACAGCAACAAAAACAGATGAATGGGAATTTGTGTTCTAATTCTGAGATGAAAAATGCCATTGTATAGTTCTTGTTTTCATATTTATACCGTATGATGTAACAGAACAACACAAGCAAGGGTGTACAATGAATTAAATCTCAGGATTTACTGATGATAGGAAAACAGACAACAGGTGAGTATCAGATGCAAACAGATTAATGAAACCAAGTAACTTAACTTGGGATTGTATTGCAGATGGCAAACACTGTTGAATGAGATAAAATAAAACATAACAATGGCTGATCAGCAGACAACGAAGGAGAAACATGAGGAGGTCAACATGATCCAGCTGAGAATGAGTTAACAATCTTTTGTGGAAACACTGACAAGATCAGACAACTACAGTGTGTTTGAGGTTAATACAGGGCTCTACAGTGCGACTGAAAACTACTGCGTGTGACTATGAAATAATATTTAGGAGCACCTGTGCGACTGACCCGATCAGCATATTTGTGTTTGCGCTGAGGGAGCTTCAAAGGTTCTAATATACTTACGTGTTTCTGCAGCGTTGAGTAATGCATCACCGATGTATCCTCTCATTATAACAAACAAAGTGTTGACGGGGTGTAAATAAGAGATTCATTGCGCAGTGTAGGGAGCTTCGTCGATTATAATGGAGTTTTGTGAGATCGCGATACAACAGTTCATTAAACCAGAAGTTAATATTAAGTCACTTATATTGTCTGACAACAACACAATTGCTTTATTTTGCTCTATTTCATCAACGAAAATAGTTTCAAACAAAGTAACAGCTGAGCTGCTGTGCATATCCATTCAAACTGCATTTTTAAACGAATGGAGTGAGTCAATGATTCAATTACCCATTAAGAGAGGCACGTACTTCGTTCCTGAATGAATCAGCCGTTCGACTGAATCAATTGAATGAATGATTCAGTGATAAAATCAGTGACTTGTCGCCACCTGCTGGCAGTTTTAGTTTAATTTTTAAAGTATCTTTTCTGTTATTTAAATCATTTAATATTTCTATATTCAAAATTGTATATTTAAAACATTAACCTCAACATGAATTTATGAATTTAATTGCACTCATGCGACCTCTGAGCCTCATTAAACGTCTGAAAATACACCTACAAGCCACTTGCGTGTTCTTCTGTGCCACCTCTTTACAAATTTATTTCTTAAATACTGATTTCATTTGATTGGTAACTTATTCTTATTCTACTTGTTTTATTCTGTTGTTTTAATTAGAAATGTTAAAAAGTTTATAAATATATTTTTTTGAATTTGACATAAAAGATGACATACTTTTAATAAAGTTAGAAAAATGGCATTACAAAAGGTAAAAACTAAATTCCCTGTAAATCACTTTAAGGAGTCAACTATCACCTTGTAATGGGAAGGTTCATTTTTTTAATCAGAATTTTTGATTACTGATTAGAAGGTGCTACTAAAATTCTCCTAACCTTTTACTGCCTGAAGAGTCAAGGGTCAGGTTGCTGCCAAATTATGCTAATGACCCTACACTTGATTTATCAGAGCAGACATCAGGGAAGTGTAAAGGATGTAAATCTACATTTTCACACATAAAGCTGGAAGTCATGTGTCCTGAAATTTAAGAGCCAAACTTGCAAAAGAACACCAATAGCTAATGACAATTACACAAAACGAAGCGAGATCATGTTCCAATCTAATATTCCTCAGGACACAGAATATGGGTTCAGCCTTGATCTGACAACAAAACTCATTGCAACTAGATCGCAGCTGAATATATCATATCATATTTCTCCTGCATTCAAGGTAAATTTTGATGGATGTTTTATCCAAGCATTACAACATCTAACAAATTACAAACTGAATCCTACAGCAGTTCTGCAAATCCGGGCGACTCTGAGGCCCCAGAAGCCCGTGGGTTAATTATCAGGGTCAGACTCTGAAGAGTCTGTTCATTTTACAAGAGAGTTTATTCCCGATTCACTTGATGTTTGTTTACTCCAATTACTTAAACTGTTTCTAGAGGTTTAGTCAGTGTTGTGCTGGACATGTACCTCAGTTTGCAGTCGTTCCTCATGTATCGTTTCTGATGTCTGTTGTGGAGATAAACACATTCCCGCTCATGTCTATCCCACTGAGCTTCAAAACAGTCGACATCAGAAACAGACACAAATACCACATGAAAACAGAGCAGAGCCGAAGACAGTTCAATCATATTATTATACAGAGCAGTAGAAAATTTTTTTTAATTCAACCACTGTATTTTTAAATTACCCAATTTATTGAGTTGAACAACAACACATTTTAGTTTTAACAGTCAAACACAAAATAAAATTGAAACGAATATCTCCTTTCTTATATTTTATATGCAGATGAAATAAGTGTTACGTAAACACCTGTCTCCTGAGGCCACGTGAGCAAAATAATGCACCTCATTAAACTGTGTATTCAATGCAATTAAATAATGACTGTCTATAAAACAAATGCATAAAGTCTAAACTAATATTTATAAATCATATATGATTTCATAAATCGGTTGCATAAACCACAGTTTTACTACAAATGCCACGGTTAAACTATGGTTAGTGTAACAAATCCATGGTTAATTTGTGGTTATCACGGTTTAACTACAATGACCATGTTTTTCTGGGGGGGTTTTTTGGTTTTATATGTAGTAAAACCGCGGTTAATTTTCGTAAGGGTTCTCAATAATAAATGTTGTGTAAATGTCCTCAAACACAAATTAAACTATTTTAATTTGTCCAGCAGGTAAGCTGCAGATGTCTTGTTCAGCAAATGATCAGTTGGTTTAGTTATTGATTTTCAGATCTCAATAAATAAACAAACCAGTAAATGCAGAAAATAAGCTTTTTCCCATGTTAATGCAATTAATTTCACAATGTTTACATAATTATATTATATATACCAAAGTATGGGCATCATCTAGGTTAACAAAGTGAACAAATAAGACTTAAATGAGACTTTAAGCATAACAAAAGTAAAGCATTTTAACAAAAAAAGTCAGCTTTTGCATGTCTAAAAAGGCAGTACTCAAATCATTTCCGAACATGTGGTTCGGCTGTTATTTACAGTAAAACCTTTGCATTTACCTGCATAACATCTTATTAAATTTGATTTGAAGTTGTACTCAGTCACACAGAGTAAAACAAGATGGCAATAAATGTGCACATAAATGGTAAGATAAAGAGGCTTTCAGGTTAAATCTGACAAAAGGACACAGAGTCCCCGTCCACCTTGAAGGCCGCATAGAGAGGATCTTCAAAAGCCGCGAGGAAGGTGTACAAGTGTGTGAGTGTGTCAGAGACGCGGTAGAAGGACAGAACACCAGCCGTCGTGTCCACATACACACCCACTCTTTTAGATGAACAAGAGGATGAAGCCTTTATAGCAATGTAGTCTTCAGCGTGAGAAACATATGGGAAAGATGCACAGGTAATTTTCCATGACACACTATTGTTTCCAAGCTGCCCGGTGGCCTCTACTATACAAAGATCATCACTTTTCCTCAGGATGGTTTTGTACGTCACCCCGACCGTCCCCTCCGGACCAGTCCATTCGGCCTCCCAGTAACAGCGGCCAGACAGACTCTCTCTAGACAGCACTTGTTGGACTGATTCAAATCTCTCTGGATGATCTGGATACGGCTGCTTCTGCATTGCACATGTCGCCGTTCTGTCTCCGTTGGAGAGACACAGCAGAACATGAGTAACGCCAGAATGAAGCCAGACTCTGTTGCTCTCTGGGATGCCAAGCATAAGAATATCAATGTATTTTGTTTAACCAACAGTAAGAATTTTTAACCGATTAATCGGCTACTTTCGTTTGCTGCATGTTCATAAAAACACGCCAAACATAAATTTTACATTTTTGAAAGGAAAAATAAAAACAAAAAGTCACATCGGCTATAACTCACATTTTATTACATTTAGAAATAATACCGGCAGGCCTATGTTAATGTACATACATTACAAACACTATAAACATATAGACTATTTTAGTTCCCCTCACTCCACAACAAATCCTTTAAATTATTTTTACACAACTTATTCAGAACAGACCAAGAATGAAAAAATTATAATTTATTCATTCCTAATGAATAAATATAATATAACTGCAGTATAATATAATAATATAGGCCTGGCTATAAACAAGCCAAAACATATTCATTTAAAGTGAAACTGAACGTAAAGTTGGGTTCATAGCCTACCTCTCGCTCATTCGGCACCAATCCAAATGCTTCCATATTCGCGACGTATTTAAGCTAAACTATTATTTATTAGGTAAATTGGGCTTTGTACTTCACGCGTGTTCCAATATCGACAAGAAAAAAAATCATAATAAGCAAAAACGTGCCACAGTGGCCAAACTGCACATATTACAGACTATTTCAATTGACTACTGTAATTTTTTACATGTTTGGGTGACTGTATATTATTTTGATAATGAACAGGCTGCGCTGTTTGCAATGAATTTATAGTGTGTGCGTGAGGCGAGATCAAACAGCTGAAGCACAAAACACTCGTCATCTTTGGTCAAATAGTAAAGTAATAATTCGAAACAGCAAAGTGCAAAGTGTTAGCAGTTTGAAGATTCGAGAATATTGGCAAATATTATTAGAATTCTTTATAAAGCGAACACTGTTCCATACTTATTTCGCTCTGGAACCTGAATGAAAAATATTTTTGCTAAGGACGAACCGAAATGAAAACATTTAGCTTTTAATCCATGTATTTGACAGCCCACACACATCAACTCCCCATCCCGTACTTCTGAGTGGGAGATCTTCCCAGAGACTAAAATCAGGGCACCCCCTCCGGAGATGGCACCTGAGGTGAGGGGGCACAGAGGTGCCCGGGCCCCCTGAGGCCCCCCGCGGCACTGACGCTGACCTGAGTGTCTCCAGATGACAGTGTGGGCTCTTCAGTCCAGCAGAAAGTGCCTTCACTCCCGCCTCGATGCTGTAATTGTGACTCAGGTCCAGTTCGCTCATAGGACAGTCCTCTAGCTGAAGAGCCGAAGCCACCGTTTCACAGCACTGCTCTGTCAGTCCACAGTCTGAAAACCTGGCAAGATGGCAAGATGTTAGCTAGTCATGAAGAGCTTACCTCTACACAGTTTCAAAAAAATAGATCCCAATAAAGCTACATAAAAAAGAAACAATGTAATTAATACACTGCACAAAAAATGCTGGAAAGTAGAAAAAGCCTAAATGAGTTTACAGTATCATACCTGTACATTAGTTCAATAACTTAATAATTACATAGAAAACCTAAACTTAGAAAATCTTAAAGGAACAATGTATTTGAATGCTACGCCTGACAAAATTGTAGTAAATTAAAAAAACATGGAAAGAAAGAAGAGTACACAATGGCTTACACTGCGTTTCTGCAGCATCACTGTCACACAAAATGGATCAAAATTGTAAAAAAAACGTTTAATTTCATTCATAAAGTTGTATTAATTCAATTGATTAAACATGCTTTCCTATTATTCAAATTGAATTAAAATGGAATCATGAAAAATTAAATTAGAAAACATTAATTGGGGAAGAAAAACGAAATATGTTGAAAGAAGTTGAAGGGGAAAACTAAATTTTGAAAACAGAATTTGGAGGAAAACAAACAGCATTTTGGGGAAAATATTATCAAAAATAACGTTGAAAAAATAAAAATTAAATTTTGGAAAAAGTAAAACAGAATATGCTTTAAAAATACTTTTTGTGGGGGGTTAGGTACTCGCCCCGGGGGTGAGTAAAACAAAACAATTTTGTTTTACAATTTTAGGGGGAAAAGAGTTTTCATTTGACTCTACATACAGGGCTTTTCTGCAGCATCTCACGGCTGGGACGAGTCTCCTGCATCCCGCATATGTGTTGTTGAACATCTTGGGGTCGAAGTCATCCAGCACCTCGCCTGACATCAGAAGCACATAAACCAGCACTGAGCAGTTGGAGTTGGACACCGCTTTCGGCTGGCCGCTCTCTGACTTCAGATATTTCATGATTTGTTTGTACAGGGTTCTGTCCTGCAGCTCCAGGATGCAGAAGAAGTGGTTGATAGATTTATCTGGGCACTTGTCATTGTTTTGCAGTTGCTTGATGTACTGGATGGTTTTATTGATGCAGTTTTTGTTTTCCAGCGTCTCGTTCAGCAAGCCGATGAGGAGTTTCTGATTGGACTGGAGAGAAATGCCCAGCAAGAACCGCAAAAAGAGATCAAAATGCCCTCGGTCGCTCTCCTTCGCCTTATCGATCGCCTTCCTCAGCAGAACGTACAGCAGTTCTTTCTTATTAGGACGCGAATTCTCCAAGAAGAATTTCAGCTCGTCCATGTCCAGCTTCAAGTAGCAAAGAAACACATGCAACGCGGCAAGAAACTCCTGCACGCTCAAATGTATGAAGTAATAAACCTTCCTCTCATGCAGGACAGAGTCCTCCTTGAAGATTTCAGTGCACAGTCCTGTGGACTCCTCGCTTTCATCGATGCCGCACGCTTTCAGATCCGTCTCGTAGAACATGACGTTTTCCTCCTTCAGCTGTTCGAATGCCAGTTTAGCCAACTTTAAGATCATGCCTTTGTTTGAACTCAAAAGCTTTGTGCGATCCCTTTCCTGCTTCTTCTCATACTTCTGGTTCTTCATCTTCATCTGTATCAGAAGGAAGTGGATGTACATTTCGGTGAGGGTCGAAGGAATGTCCTGCTCATCGTTTTTGACAAGAATGTCCTGAAGGACGCTGGCAGTGATCCAGCAGAAGATGGGAATGTGGCACATTATGTAGAGACTACGAGACGTCCTGATGTGTGAGATTATTCTGGAGGCCTGAGCTTCATCTATGATCCGTTTTCTAAAATAATCCTCCTTCTGCTGGTCGGTGAATCCGCGCACCTCCGTGAACAATCCTACGTACTCAGAAGGGATCAGATTGGCCGCTGCCGGTCTTGATGTGACCCAGATGAGAGCCGACGGAAGCAGTTTTCCTCTAACTAAGCTTGTAAATAAAACATCAACGGATGACCGTGCATTGACACATTTGACCAATTTCCAATCAAAATCCACTTCCAGGCGACTCTCATCAAGCCCGTCAAAGATAAACACCAGTTTGTATTCTTCATAAAACTTGGTGTTTTCCACCTCTTTCAAATCAGGATAGAATTCCAACAGAAGCTCGTGGAGACTGATCTCTTTATCATCTTTAATCAAGTTCATCTCTCTGAATGGAAGCAGAAACACGCAGTCCACATGCTGATTGGCTTTTCCTTCGGCCCAGTCCAGGATTAACTTGTGCACGGAGAACGTCTTTCCGATGCCAGCGATGCCTTTGGTCAGCACAATGTTTCCCTCCTTCTTTTGCTTCAGTAAACAGAATATGCTATTGCAGTCGATCGGTGTGTCTTCAAATTTGGGCGTTTTCAAAGCTCGGTCCATCTTCAGAACCTCATGTTCGTCATAGACGTCTGTAATGTCCCCTTCAGTGATGAAGAGTTCAGTGTACACTTTGCTGAGGTGTATTTTGTTCTCCTTTTTGCCCTCAAACACATGTCCCGTTTTGGCCTTCATGTCGTCTTTGTGACTTTCCAGGATTTTCTGCAAGACGTCGTGCTCTAGAACAAATCGAACACATAAGAACTGTTGTGACTTCTGCCTAAAATCGCTGATATGTTGGGAATCATAACTTGTAGGCATTTAGAAATCAATCTAAATACAAGTTTGACCCGATTATAACCAGAATGAAGAAGTGGCTATTGTTTTTGCACCTTGTTTCTGAGACACCGGTCCTTTGGGTGGATTTTGCTGCCCTTTTAAGTAAACATCAGGAAAAAAATACACATACATTAAACACAAATCATTCAGCTACCAAAGCTTATTTATTAAAATCTTCCAAACTATTGGGTGGTTCTGACATGTTAAACAGTCGCCAAGTTTTGCTAAAGAAATAAGCAACCTGGTCTGAAAAAATACGTTCCAAAATAAGTGACCCATGGTGAATTTGGGAAAAAATAATACTAATAATTTAAATAAAACCAAGTTTTGAAAAAAAAAAAAATGTGACCATGGACCACAAAACCAGTCATAAGGGTCAATTTTTCGAAACTGACATGTATACATCATCTGAAAGCTTAATAAATAATCTTTCCATTGATGTATGGTTTGTTAGGATAGGAGGACAATATCTGGCTGAGATACAACTATTTGAAAATCTGGAATCTGAGGGTGCAAAAAAAAATCTAAACATTAATCGCCTTTAAAGTTGTCCAAATGAAGTTCTTAGCAATGCATATTACTAATCAAAAATTTAGTTTTGATATATTTACGGTAGGAAATTTACAAAATATCTTCATGGAACATGATCTTTACTTAATATCCTAATGATTTTTGACATAAAAAAAAATCTGTAATTGTGACCCATACAATGTATTGTTGGCTATTGCTACAAATATCCCCCAGCGACTTAAGACTGCTTTTGTGCTCCAGAGTCACAAATCTGTAAGCAAATTTAAAAAACAAAGCCCAGAGTGGCTGATAATGAGCAAACTTGGCAACTCTGATGCTAAGCATACTACAGTGCTATGAGCTTACCGACAGCGCCAGTGGCTGAGCTGAAGCTGATGATTACTGAGCCTTGGATGACGTTTCCAGTGAGTACAGGAGCGTTTACAGTTGCACCTGTTTGAGCATTCAGATCAACGCAGACTGAAGTGTGAGAGGGGCTGGTCGTCTGCATCGACCCTTCTGCCTTCTCCAGCTCATCCACTGCTTCCAGAAGCGGCTCTGGAACCGACGCCATCTTGTCTGCCTTGGTCTTGTGTCCACCTTATCTTTCAATGCGGAAGTAAGCTGTTTTCTGCTAATGTGCGAGACCTTCAGTTCATTAGCCGCTTGTAGGGAAACAACGAGAAGAATAACAAAGTGCACCAAACAGTTTGCATAACAAACTGTGTTCATAATTAAGATAATACATTAAAATCATATGGTAAGACACACCAGTTTGCAATATCAAGCAGCAAGAGCTGTTTTGAACAGCTAAGAATAGCTGGAAGTGGAAGTGACCGGAAGCCAGACACACTGAGTTTAGGCCGCACCCGCTCTTATGGAAAAAACATGGTTACTACTCTTTTACTATAATAAAACCATGGTTAGTTTTCATAAGGGAAGGTGGATAAGATCAGACGAGAGGAGATATATGACAAGTTGGGTTTGACTTAAACCAATTTCATATTTTAATATCTGATAAACTCATGTAGTATGCACTTTTAGCAGTCCCATACACAACCAGACCTGATCCTTACCTTCTATTGAGTAGCTACAACTATAAAGCTATAAGAATGAGAATAGAAGCAGTTTTGTTAATGTTATTTTTTACATGCATTGTACTCAGTACTTCGGCTTATGCAAACATGCTCATAATCATGCAGCCAGAGAGCCCAAAGTCACATCTACATGCCCACCAAGAACGATACATATAATCATAACTATATTAAATCGACACCAACGCACGATGTTTTCGTCTCAGCGAGCTTCCGTCGAGCGCGCTTTATTTAACACCTTATGGTTATCCTTCCTGTGACTGGCCGTGACGGAAAATGAGATTAGAAAACCAAACACATGCAAAAAAAAAAAAAGATTGGGGACACGACAAACAGTTAATTAATTATTTAATATATACGTATTTACAGTTTATTAAATATGTGTTACATTTAATCATTTTAAACGTGTGGCATAACGCTGGATGGATGCAAAGAATAGTTGATTTGCATCAAAGTCGAAAAGGCTTCGGTTCTAAGCATCGCAAGATATCAACATGCATTAGCGATAAAAGTTACATGCAAGTTGGGAAATAATAAACGCGCGGTACGTTACCTGTCCCGCAGCTCTCTGATGCCTCCGTTAGTTTCACTTTAATCGTGTCCTCTCTCTCTCTCCCTCTCTCTCTCTCTCTCCTCTCTCTCTCCCTCTCTCTCTCTCTCTCTCTTTCAAACACATGCAAAAAAAAAAAAAGATTGGGGACACGACAAACAGTTAATTAATTATTTAATATATACGTATTTACAGTTTATTAAATATGTGTTACATTTAATCATTTTAAACGTGTGGCATAACGCTGGATGGATGCAAAGAATAGTTGATTTGCATCAAAGTCGAAAAGGCTTCGGTTCTAAGCATCGCAAGATATCAACATGCATTAGCGATAAAAGTTACATGCAAGTTGGGAAATAATAAACGCGCGGTACGTTACCTGTCCCGCAGCTCTCTGATGCCTCCGTTAGTTTCACTTTAATCGTGTCCTCTCTCTCTCTCCCTCTCTCTCTCTCTCTCTCTCTCTCTCTCTCCCGATCGTCGTGTTGTTTGTGCGAGCATTAAACTGTGCATGTGCACGGAGCAGGAAATATTAAATGCAATTTCCAGTATTTTTTTTCACGTTGCTGGGATGAATTGTGAGACTATAGAGCAATATTGGGATCTACTGAATTAAGGCGACTCATCAATAAATACTCATCACTAAATATTGCCATATTTTGCTATGGCTATGTCCTGACCCCATCACTTCAACTGAATAACTTCCCTTGAAATATTAAACAGTTCTGCTTCATTCTGGCACATTTCTAAAGGTTGGCGAAATGGGAACATTATATAATAGTGATGCATGTGATTACTGACTACAGCAATATCTTTATCAGTCTAAATTATGAAGATGTACGAATTTATAATGTGAGATTTTATACTATATGGGTCAAAGACGAAAAAGGGTTTAAACATAAAAACTATAAGTGTAATATTGCTTTAAATTCTTGTTGTTTTCCCCCCCAAAAAATGTAAAACGTTTTCTGTTTAATTTAAGTGCAATTTTGTTTTAGTTTTTCTGAGCAAAAGCCCCTGATTTACAGAAGAGAGCCACTAAAATGTTATTCAGTGTAACAATCTTGTCAGGCATATTTACAACAAAAATCAATTTATGACATATTAAAAGACTAATTACTTTCACCCCAAATACTAGGTTTTTATTCATTTAAAACACAGTACAATTTCATATGTTCCCTTATTCTTTTATATATTTTAATATGCACAAGTCAGAAAAATAATGTTGTTTGAATTGTTACATAAATATTGTGTTACACTGAATGACAATGTAACATTATTTCAACCAAATTTTGACAGTTTATTCTCCAAAAACTTATTTGAAACCTTAAAAGTGTGCTTTTTAATGTGCTTTCTATGAACATAAAATCACTTTTGTAAATGTATTTTGATGCAGACATCTTAACGTCTTTGACCCATATTTATATATATATATAATTGTAAAATCATTGTAAAAAGCAGAAAAGATGTTGAGACTGGGAGGGCGTAGATAACCACATCTATCTCATGAATATTAATTAGCTCACACTGACATTTCAGCCTGTCACAATACTTTTCATTCTGATTTTAATTTGAACTTTTATTAATGTTCCACGACATTTCTTTTCTCCACTCATTTCATTCTTCACTATGCACTGTAATACTAAAGGACTTGTGGGTATGAATAAATAACAGACGATCAGAAACGTAACCAACCAAATATCTTACGTCTCCAATGAAATTGATCCAAAATAACACCAGGGCCACAGATTTCAATCACAAAGCAAGTGCGATGCAGTCTTAGTTCGGTGTGATTCAGCCTGGTCTCCATGAATGTCCTCAGTCTTTCATGGTCTAACAGTTGTGTAGTCGCATGTCTCCTGCCCGTCAGAAGTCCCGTCTGAATGATGAGCCGCTGTAAACTTGATGCTGGAGTAGTTGAGATCGTCCGAGGGGCTGCTGGGTAATTGTGCTAGAGCATAAACAGAGGCTTCATGTTCAGCAAATGCTGGAAGCACCAGACTATAGTCAGGATGATCAAGAGTGCTACTGATGTCTTCATAATCGCAGTCCGCCTGAAGAGAAGAAAAAACACCAGAGTTAGAACAAATGGATAAAGAGTGGAAAATATGACTAATATCCACATACAGACACATGATGCAACTCACTTCTCTAGTTTCTCCCATATCTCCACTGGGCAGATTCTTAGTCGGGCCACGAACCACATCTTTGGGCTGCGTTCCTGTTTTGTGACACCAGATTTTTTGGTTTGTGACAAAAACCTTTTTTTTGAGACGACATGCAGCTCTGTGACACAGAAGTCTGGTTTGACTTTGGAAATGCTGTGATTTACTAAAGCAGATGAGAATAAAAATGATTCTATATCAAGTGAATTGATGTGAGAAAGACAGTCACCTTCTTTCTTTTGCCTCCGTCTTAAGTATATAAACGATGAGAATCCAAACCCTGTCAGTATCCCTATAACTATCACCATCACCATGAAGATTGGTGCTAAACCTTGAAAAACAGACAAACACGTCCAATAAATGACTCTAAATGTCCTATATTTAATGAAACTTGAGAAACAAATGTCTCTGCACACTCTTTGTACCTGGCTGTGGTTTTGGTGACACTGCATTAGGAGATGATGAGAAAAACATTAACACTGAAGATGAAGATGATGATGATGAAGATGTGACGGGTCTGCTGGAGGCAGTATCTGCTGGTGCAGGTTTGCTGCTGTGAAATGAAGCTCTTGTTGTGTTTGGTTTAGATAACGGCCTCTCTGATGTGTCTGAAACTGGGTTTAATGCATGACAGCCCATGCAGTTATTTCCAGATATGATTACAACAAAAACTATTTAAGGAGCTTTTTATATATGTGACCCTGGAGCACAAAAGCAGTGTTAAGTCGCTGGGGGATATTTGTAGCAATAGCCAACAATACATTGTATGGGTCACAATTATACATTTCTCTTTTATGCCAAAAATCATTAGGATATTAAGTAAAGATAATGTTCCATGAAGATATTTTGTAAATATCCTACTGTAAATATATCAAAACTTAATGTTTGATTAGTAATATGCATTGCTAAGAACTTCATTTGAACAACTTTAAAGATGATTTTCTCAATATTTAGATTTTTTTGCACCCTCAGATTCCAGATTTTCAAATAGTTGTATCTCAGCCAAATATTGTCCGATCCTAACAAACCTTACATCAAAAAGTTGTACGGTGCTTATTTATTCAGCTTTCAGATACTGTATACATTTCAATTTCAAAAACTTGACACTTATGACTGGTTTTGTGGTCCAGGGTCACATATTGAGAACACATTTCAGAATAAACACACACAGTTACATGTTTACAGTCGTATTGTGGCAAAAGATCATGTGACACGTTGTACTTCCCCCTGACACAGCTGTTAGTAACGCTTCACTAATATCAAGGGTGTGACGGAAACAGAGAGGCGCATGAGTGACCAGCGATGTGTTTAGCATGAACTTTTACTGTATATTATTCTTTTGTTTTTTATGTCCCTGCACATACTATAAAACCTGCTAATATCATCTTACCAGCAGAAATGTTCAGGTCTATCACTGAAATCCATTTCTTCTGCTTCTTGTGCTTTTGTCTTCTCTGTGCAGCTCCACACCAGTATATCCCAGAATCCTCTTCTCTCAGATCAGTGATGGTCACAGTAAAGACTCCTGCAGATGCATTATCGCTCAGAGAGAAACGGCCGTTACTGTGGCTCTCTGATGAAACTTTGACGGCTGATGTCTCACAGAGGGACGGGTCGCTTCCTTTGCAGATGAATTTGACGTCGTTCTTCAATTCACTTGAATAATTGCAGGGGATATAAAGATGCTTTCCAGTCACACCAGACACTCTGGAAACTAAATCAGAGCATGAATGAGATACTTAAGAACCTACAGTGACAATAATAGCTGTTTAATCAGATACTGCTCTGAATAATGCCAGCTCTTTCTGCTTTACGTTCACTGGCTGCTCTGCAGTGCTCTGATAATGTAATGCATGCGAAATGAAAAAGACCTTGACCTTTAGAGTCACTAAATTTCAACAGATACCGCAACTCTTTGAAAAGCTGCTAGATGTAACTGATTTTACAGAATATAAGCACATGCTTAAATATTGAGGTGCAGGTCATGAGAAAAATGAAAAAAGGAAAGTTTAACCGCACAACTCAAATTTTTATGCTGATAAAAACAAACAAACACAAATGCATTGATAAAGGCTGATGGCTGAACTATATATATAAAAAGTAAGATTTTGAGTTGTGCAGTTATATTTTTTGTTTTTTGAATGAACTATTTCTTCTCAAATAAACTGAATGTCATGTGACAGGAAGTGATGCGGGTCAGTAAATACTGACCCGCATCACTTCCTGTCACATGACATTCAGTTTATTTGAGAAGAAATAGTTCATAGTGTTGTGTGTGGTGTGAACACTGGCTCTTCAGCATCTGCAGAGGATGCTGTGGTTTCTGTTCTCTTGGCTCTCTGCATCTTTCAGCACACGATACAGCACTCTCATACACGCAAACATACCTCTGACATATCACTTTAGAGTGTACTAGAATTGTTCATTTACATCTTACACAGTATTCGTGTGCACTGCCAATGATACACATACAGTATATTCTGACTTACCGTGTTTAATCTCCAGATGAATCTCTGTAAAGTCATCAAATATTCCCAGCCCTCTCTTTACTCCACACCAGTATTGGTCTTGATCCTCTGTTCTCAGATCAGTGATGGTGACGGTGAAGATGTGGGCCGTTTTGTCGTCAGTCAGAGAGAATCTCTTGTCTTGAGCTGCTGATCCAGATTCAACAACTTTGTCTTTTTTCAGTCTTGGACATTTTCCTCTGCCGAGATACTTCTCATGTTCTTCATCTGTAGACTTATATGAGCACTGTATCTCAACTGTTCCTCTTTCATGTGCAGTGAAAGTCAAGATCTCATTCGTCTCACATACCGCCACTAAGAAAATATAAAGAGAGAGAAACAGCTGAGTGCAAACATGGACCTGATTGAGAACAGACAGACTGTTAGAAAGACACAGGATAACTCTCACCTGACACGAGGAGCAGCAGGTGAAATATGAGTTTATCATCACGGATCTGGATCATTGTTTCATGTGTGTGGTGCTGGTGGTCTCTATATTAATGAAGAGCTCAAGCTCTCTCTCTCTCTCTCTCTCTGTCTGTCATTTGCTCCTCCTCTCCATGAGTTACAGTATTTGCAGCAAGGGCTCACTCTATGTACATTTCCTTCGAACAAATTCAATCTTACATTTTCATTTAGTCATTTAGCAGACACAAATAAATTCAGCCTTGTGCTTAGAAGAGATCGAGGGCTTTTAAGTACACATGAACATGAATGAATATATATATTTCATCAAGTCGAGACACTGATGATATTCAGGAGACATCAGGCATCATGCATTGTACAGTGTGTAACCTGCATCTGTGGCCACTTGGTGTCAGTATGATGCAATAATGACATAATGAAGGATGGGCATTTGAATTGAATATTACTTTGACATTGTATACTATCAAAATGCATATTTATTTATTCATTTAGTTGATCTTGCAAATATAAATTATGCATTAAAAGTTACCACTATGATCATTTAATTGAATTTGCATATTATCTCTTCATGTGGTGTTTACTGGAAAAAGCGAGATAATGTTACTCTATATACATGCATGTACCTGCACTTATATACATGTTCATAGTGGGGTAGACTGCAAAGACTCTTAAAACTGTTTCATTTATGGAAGGATGACAATAGAAGACCAAACTCTGAACAAAAGAAACTTAGACGAACAACAATTCATTATAACCTCAAGTAGCAGTCATCAGGGTCCAAGCACCAATCACTGTACAATTGGCATATAGCTTTCCAAATATAATGGCGGTCCTTAATATGGTTATGTGCACTTTGAAGTTTCAAAACCAGAGAATCAGAGCATGATTCGAAGTGCCAAAGTCAAGTGATTTCACTAAATGAGTCGTTGTTACATTATAACTGTTTCAATGTTTCAGAAGTGTAATGGTTCGCCGCAAGGGGTCGATGATCTCTCTGTGGATCCATGAAGCAATGGTTTTTATCTGATCTAAGTTATGTTTTATATATGAATAGACATTTTAATGGCACATTTGTATAATAAAAGTAAGATTAGTAGGTACTAGTGTCTGATTGGTCTGTTTAGCCAAGCCCTTCACAAAACAAACAAAAATGAGCCACCCAATTTAATAACAGAATACATATTATACAGAAATCTCACATTTAATGGTATTAGATGATTTGTTAATTGCATTTAATAGATTTTACTTCCAACAAAACCTCTGTATTTTCCAGGTGTTTTTATACATGTTTTGGCTGAGTTTTTGTTACATTTACATTCACCAACGTGTCATATTTCTAGCGCTTCAAAACAGCGAATAATCCTGCGAAGCAATTGGTTCAACAGATTCAAAATTTCGCAGTTCAGTTATTTTTGGAAATGACAACCGGATTCGACAAGGGAACTCACACCTTTACATTTTCAGGGCTTATTTTCTATATGAGCTATTGTCTGGCACAAGAGAGCCGTTCTGTGCTGCACGATGAATAGGTTTGACTTCACTTACTCCTTCATTAGAGTCGCTATTGTCTGAACAGGACAATTTGAGACTCAAACCTGTTAGTAAATGCGGTTGACCATCTCAAATACTCACAGTGTGAACATAGCCCAAGAAATATTATTCCATATATTATATTTAAAAAGACAAAATAATAGTATCTCTTTATTTTAGGTGTACAACCAGATTTATCCTCCTGAGATCCTGCATCTTCATACGAGGACATTATATTTGAGTGTATTTCTCTGAGACTATACATGCCACAGTTGTAAGTCTGGATGTGCTGTACAGAGCGCATTCAGGGCTTTTCAGAAACACTAAATGTTTGGATGTGTCACCATCACCTCTCCCTCTCCTTGGGCTTTAAAAATGTCTGATATTAATTTAGTGACACTCTTATGGAAATATGATACTATTTTGTAATTGTCATTTAAATCGGACACATTTTTAAACTGGCCCCAAAACACATTAATATGCAAATTAGATTTAGTTTATAGATACATTATATATAATGAGAAAACCTGTTTGTGGCCATTTTACACACATTTTGCATGAAGAAAAATGGTATATAAAAGCATTCTGATATAACATAGATGCGAATTATCTTTATACAAAAAAAATCCTGAAAACTAAAAATGTATTGGTGATTTAAAAAATCTATTGTTTTTGCCTATGCATATTCATTCATGTCTTTTTATTATTTTTTAAGAAATTGAGTCCAGATGTCCTCTACCGATGACTTAGCATAACTTATGAATTAAATATATTTTTTTTAATGCTCTAGTCTAAACAATGTAATGACATCAAAAAAAAAAGTTTTTTGCCTAAAATGTTTTGCCGGGTCTTAAGAGGTAAATGTCCGGGGTTTGGTGAAAATATAGCGGCTTAGTGTGACCAGCAGCATTTGTTCAATACAGTCTTATAGTTGATTCTGTTCTTAAATAAAACACAAAACTTGCTGATGGCATCTTACCGGCATAAATGAGAGATGTAAGCATCTCACAGTCTCATTATCACACACCAGTAATGTCCTCCATCCTCAGTCTCGGGCTGTTTTATCAAATATTGTACTAGTGTAATTCATGTCAGCTATTTTACTCTGCTCAGCACTGGCTGCTCTGCTTACAAACAGTGATCATGTAATACAAATGAAATGCTGCTGGTGGTCAAACTTAAAGAAGAGCTCTCTCTCTCTCTCTCTCTCTCTCTCTCTCTCTCTCTGTCTGTCATTTGCTCCTCCTCTCTATGAAATACACAGTATTTGCAGCAGGAGCTCCCTCTATTGAGATCTCCATTCAATAAATTCTTGATCTTAGAATAGAATATGTGCTGCTTAGTCACATAAACATGATTGAATGAGTCTCTAACGAGATCATAGACGAGAGACATCAGGCATCATTCATATTGTACAGTTTGTAACCTCATATGTGACCACTTGGTGTCAGTGTGATCTAATAATGACATGACGGCGCACAGCGAGAGCCATTTTCCAATTTTACTTGGACATACTTCCAAAATGCACATTCATTCATTCATTCATTCAGCTGTTCTGGTAAATATGACTTTTGAACCAAGTATTGCCTTTTGGACCCTTGTTTAATTCAGTTTGCATATTATCTTCTATGTGGTTTGACTGTCATTATTTATAGATACATACTGTATAGATATTTATGCCAACATATCTGTCATTTATATGACAGTAGTGCTCTGTTGATTATTATGTTGAAACAAAAATTGACAAGAGGGGTAGTTTTATTCTAAAAAAAGGCAACATACTGAATCACATAGATGTCATGTTTTGTGGCTATTCAGCCAGTGTGTAGAAATCACTGCCAGAGGGGTTTGTGGGTAAATGTGCCGTCTCATAAACCGTGTTTAAACTGATGGTTGTGTTTCCAGAGTCTGGGATCACTGAATAATAAGCAGACGAGGACACCTGAAAGGGACAGGTTTATTATTGTAATTGCATAACATCTGGGTTTATCAGTAATGTCATGATTTATAATCTTTTTGAATTCCTTCTGTAATTGAACACAGTTTGGCAAATACTGTATCATGCTAACAGACACACGTTTACCTCATCGCCATCTCCTGTGTTCCTCTGATCGGATGAGACTGAACCTGCTGTGGATGGACAGAATGATGAACGTGAACATACAAGAGAACAGAAGTTAAGAGATTTCTTGATTGATTTCAGATTTCTTTGTTTGTACCTTGTGTCTTTTGACATCTCCGCTTGAGCAACAACAAACTCAGTCCTCCGACTAACAACAGAATCAAACACATAATCACCATAATGACGATGTAGAGCTCTGGAAAACACACACAAAACACAGTAGAAATGAGATTCAAACCACAGAATGAAGCACGATATTAGCATGAGTGTGAAAGGAACAGTCCACCATATGATGCAAAACAATCAGTCAAGCAACAAGACCTGAAACATGAATCCAGTGAAACTCAAACTGAAAGGGAGAGTTCACCCAAAAATGAAAATCACTTTTAGAGAATACTAGAGATTACGGTTTATAAAGTTTTAAATATGGATTATTCTCTTACAAAAACGCATTGATTCTCTACAGGAGGCCTTTTTTCACCCCCCCGGAGCCGTTTTTATTATGGATGGATGCGCTTTATTTGACTTCTTTCGGGCTATTGACAAGAAACACCCATTCACTGCCATTATAAAGCTTGGAAGAGCCAGGATGTTTTTTATACGACTTCGATTGGATTCGTCTGAAAGAAGAAAGTCATATACACCTAGGATGGCTTGAGGGTGAGTACATTTTTGGGTGAACTATCCCTTGAAGAACTCTGCAGTCATTTTCACTACAGCCAATCACTGAGCTGCAAAATGGCGGCAGTTGTGTTTATGTGCAGAAGTGAAGAGGTTCTTATGAAAAAATGCATTGTGAAGCTTTGAAACCTTTGTCCAAAGTCACATGATTTCAGTGAGGCTTCGTTTGTCATGACAGATTTGAAAATAATGAAATTAACCCATGTTTTTTTTGTGTTTTTGTTTTTAAACCTGATCTCGGATGAGTTTTATACATTTCAATGAAAAGGAAGAGTAGTACTTATTTGGCCTTTTTAGGAATGTTCTCCATAAACAAACGAGCCCTGCAAATGAAAATAACACATATTATGGACCAATTTCGGTGTTTGCAAAAAGTGGTAACGTCTTTTGTGGGCGGAGCCTATCTGGTAGAAAATGACAGTTTTGAAGTAGCAGTATGGAATCCATGAAATAAAAGAATAAAAAAGGTAATTTTGAGTTTATATTTCAAAAATTCTGACTTTTTTTCTCACAATTCCGAGATTATATCTCACAATTCTGAGTGTGATATATATATATATATATATAAATCAACTCGTCATTCTCTTTTTAAATCCCACACTTCTGGCTTTTTTTCCCCTCCGAATTGACAAACTCGCAATTGTTGAGTTAAATCGAGTTATAAAGTCTGAAGTAGGAGATTTAAACTTGCATTTGCAAGTCTGAATTGTGAGATAAAATAGGTAAATGTAATAGGTTTAAAAAGTAGGCTATTTTATGCTGTAACTGTAGCTAATACAATATGACCCCTAAGAACTGCATATGCAAATATTATGTAGACATATGGTTTAAATCAAATTTATGCTTTAAAAGTAGGGTAATCATAGCAGGTTTCATCCACTTCATCCATTTAAACGTCTACGTTTAGCTTCAAATGTTGTCTTTGACGACGGTATTCTATAAAAATGATTTACATTCCGATGCTGGATTCCAAAAGCTCAACAGAACATTTTGTTCCCAGTGTTTTTCTGCCACCACAATGCACGCACTGCTGCAAGTGACGTAACTATACAGACACTTCATATTAAATGGTATTTCTTGACCTGTTAGTTGCATTTATTAAATTACACTTTCAGTAAATCATTTCGAATTGGTTTATGCATATTTGGGCTGGGTTTTTGTTGCGATTACACTGTTTTGACCAGCCGGACGCTTTAATACAGTGACGCATTTTATGACACAATTGTTTCGATTAATTCAAATTTTCAAACTACTTTTCCCCATCACTACTGCCAAGGCAAGCTCTGCAAGTCTCACTTTACCAGCAAATCACTTTAATTGTGATGTCCTAAATAATGGCCATTAATCCAATTTCATTATCATAATAATTTAATTTGTGTTAAAGAACTCACCAGACTGGACTGAAGCATCTGTTCTTGATTTTCCATTGTTGCCCACAGATGAAAGGTTAAGAATCAAAATGACATTACATGTACACTCTTAAAAATAAAGTTGCATCAAAACGTTCTTCAAGCGATGCCATAGAAGAACCATTTTTGGTTCCACAAAAAACATTCAGTCAAAGGTTCTTTAAAGAACCATCTCTTTATAATCTGAAGAACCTTCTTTCACCACAAATAACCTTTTGTGAAACCAGATGTTAAAGTCTGAAAGCTTCTGCCAGACAAATTAGCACACATTTACAGAAAAAAAGCATAGTCTGAAGAGCAGAAAAATAAATGGATGCTTGCATGCAAATGTGCCTTAAAATGTGGGGAAGTCGTGGCCTAATGGTTAGAGAGTCCAAAGGTTGTGGGTTCGAGTCTCGTACCGGCAGGGATTGTAGGTGGGGGGAGTGTATGTACAGTGCTCTCTTCCACCTTCAATACAACGACTGAGGTGCCCTTGAGCAAAGCACCGAACCCCCAAATGCTCCCTGGGCACCACAGCAAAAATGGCTGCCCACTGCTCCGGGTGTGTGTGTGTGTGCACTTTGGATGGGTTAAAATGCAGAGCACTAATTCCAAGTATGGGTCACCATACTTGGCCACATGTCACGTCACACTAAAATCCCTCTTTGTATTTTTTCCATAAGTCATGCTTATGAAAAATCCCTCTTTGCATTTTTTTCATAAGTCATGCTGCCACTGTTCACTAACCGATACCCAATAAATAATTGAGTCAAACCAGAGAACAAGTGAAGGGTTAAACTGCATTTTTAATTCTTGAACAGCAGAGGGAAGCAAACTAAAACGTGTGGTATACAAAGTGAACAATTAGTAGTCTAGTCAAACGACTAGCTGAATGTGATTATGTGGGTTAGTGTCCCTGTAGGATTATCACCTTTAATATAAAACACTTTATAGAAATAATACCTTTAATAGAAAACTGTATATAACAAACACAAACACACAGGTGATGAACTGTACAATAGACATGATATGAACAAGGCGCATGATTCATTCAGCCTATATTAATATCTCAGTCTCATAACTGGTATGGCACCTAAACACACTCCAGATGAGGCATCTCTGAACAAACACAGTGCAGTTAGAAAGAATAAATAGAATAACAGCTGCAGTAAGTAAAATTCATAATGAAAATACATCTGTAAGTGGTTCCTTTTTCTTCCTGCGTTTTGATGCATCAGCTGTTTCCAGATGCTTTTGGGTGCAAGAGTGTGTTGTGCTTGAACAACACCTAAAAACCCCACTGTGGTAAAAAAGTGTCCAGTTGAGTTGTTTTCTTGTACATTTCCAGCAGATGCTCCGCTCTTGTGTTTTCTTTGTTTATCTACAGGTTCTCTTATCTGTAATTTCTCGGGGATGTGACAAAATGACTAACTATAGTAAACTGATAAACGTCTGAGAGTAAACAGTGAGCAGATCAAGTGTCACGTGCAAACAAGTGCTAAGTTTTTGCTCACAATTATGAATTTCGTTCACATTTATGAGCGTACACAAGAGTGGTTCATTAAGTTCACTGTGAACATGTTCCACTAATCACAAACGAACACAAAGTCACGCGATACTTCTTATTTTGAGTGAAAAGTACTTTTGCTATACCTTTCTTTACAATAAATTGTATTTGATTTTTTTATATAATTTTATATCTAATGAAATGCATTTTTAGTTGTCACTGAAGTGTGTAAATAATTTTAGGAGTCACTGTACGCATTAAAATGTCACTGCACTCGTGACCAGATTCCATACTCTTTTAAAAATAAAGGTTCTTTATTGGCCTTTGATGGTTCCATGAAGAACCTGTGGCACCTTCACAATGCACAATAGGTTCTTTATAGTGGAAAACATTCTTTACATGATTAGAATGTTCTTCACACTAAGAAAAACGAGGATCTTTTAAAAACAGCTGGGGAATCAAAAAGGGTTCTTTGGCATCACTGCAAAAAAAAAAAAAAAAAAAAAACTAAAATACTTGAGGGACGGGGGGGGAATGACCGGGGG